GCCGGTCCCGGGCGGCCGCAAACGCCACGAACGCGCCGCCGGCCAAAGTCCCCGGTGGTGGCCGCGGCCACCGAGTCCCCGAGCGGGACGGGGGGTGCGGGGTGGGGGGGGGTACGGCAGGGTTACCCCGGGACCGCCCCCCACCCCTGAACCCCAAAACCGAGCGGTTCTCGCCACCCGCAGCCGTGACCTTCAGCGGGGCGCGGGGGGACCCCGAGAAGGATGCGGGGGGACCGGAGGGGGGGGGACTCGGTTGGGGAACGGGAGGGGCTGCGCATCCCAAATTCAACACCCCCCCCCTCCGGGAACGGGAGGCACCGCGGGGGGGTCGGGGCGTGCACCCCAAAAAATAAATTAAAAAAAAAATAAAAATAAGAAAAAAAAAAAAGGAGGGAAAGCGCTGAACCAAGCCCTGCACCTGCAGCGGGGGGAGGCGGCGGGGGGGCCGCCCGCAGCACCGGGAGCGGGATCGCGGCCAGCGGGGGCTGCACCGGAGCACCGGGGCTTTATGAACGGTGAGCACCGGGGCGCGGTGCGGTGCGGGCGGGGCGCGGTGCACAGCGAGGGGCGGATCTCCGGTACGGCGGAGAGGAGAAGGGGAGGGGGGGATCCCCGCACTCCGGGATAAGGGCGATGCTGCGGGGGCGGCGCGGGGGGAACCCGCGCGGGAACGGCGGGACCGGGAGGGGCTGCGCTGCGGGGCCGGGGGCACTCGGAGCTGGGACCCCTGTGCGGGGCTCGGTGCCCGCTCCGGGGAGGACGCGGGACTCACCTGCGGGGCCGCCGCCGCCCCCGCCCCGCTCCGCTCCGCTGCCGCCGCCGCCGCCGCCGCCCCGGGACCGCGGCGGGACCGCGCCGGGGGCGGTGCTGGCCACGCCCCCTCCCGCCGAGCCGCGCCGCCATTGGTCAGCGCTCCCGGCAGCGGTGACCGCAGCCAGCGGCCGCCGCTTCTCATTGGCTGAGGCGCCGCCGCGCCGCGCGCTGGGAGGGGGCTGATTTGCATATTTAAAGCGGCCGCCGCCCCGAAAGCGCGGCGGGAGCGGCTGCGGGACCGGAGCCGCCTGCACCGGAGAGCTGGCGCCCGAGCTGTCGCCGTCTCCCGGCTGTCGCCTCCCCTTGCAGGACTGCCGCCACCTCACGCGCTGCCACCCCCCGAGCTCCCGGTGCCGCTCCCGGTGCGGCCGCGCCCCCCGCCGCGACCCCGCCGGTTGTCACCGCACCCGCAGTCCCGGGGTGTCCCCCCCCACCGCTCCCCGCCCCGCCGCCGGTGCCAGCCGGTGCCTCGCACCCCGCTGAGCTCATGTCCCGGCTCCGGCTGTCACCGGCGCAGCTGCGGGAGCGGGCACGGACAGGGAGGGGACATTCCCGGCGGGTGGCGGGGGGGACATTCCCATATTCTCGTATTCCCATCGGGAATTAACCGAACATCCCTCCGACGACGACGGGGGACGCGCCAGCCCCGCGGTGCCACCGGAGCTGGGACGGCGGGGACGTCACGCGGCGGTTTCGGTTACGCTGCCTTTTGTCCCCGGTGACACCTGGCAGGTGTCACCGCGCCCGGGTGGCAGTGCCAGGCCCGGCCGGTGGCACCGCGGCAGCGCCGGTGGGCTCGGGGGGGGTGTGGGTGGGTGGGTTGGAGACTTTGGAGACCCCTCCCCAGCTCCTGGCTCGGTCAGGGTCAGGGCTCTGCTCCGCTGTCACCTCCGAGACCCCGCGGTGTCCCCGCGTGTGCTGGCAGCCACCAAAGGGGGGACAAAGGCGGAGAAACCCCCCTGGGACCCCCGCCCCCCAGAACCCAAAGCCACTGGGACCAGTCACAGCAGAGTGGGGGGCTCAGAGAGGGCTGGGGGGACAAAGGACAGCCCTGGGGACAGCCCCGACCCCGGGGGTCACACCTGGGCTCCAGGGGACCGAACCCCCCCCCCCCGGAATGGCCCAGGAGCCCCCTCCCCAAAACACCCCCCGATGGAGCAGAGGGGCTGGGAACGAGGAGATTTTGGGGAAGGGGAGGTTTGGGATTGGTTTGAGGGGTGGGAAGGGGGATTTTGGGGTGGGGAGGGGGATTTCGGGGT